CCACTGGGTTGGGGACTGGAACTGCAGTGGACTAGGTGGGAGTCCAGGGACGTAACCACTGTGCTGTCTGTTGATCCCGTCCTACTGTCTAATCCTGTTCACACACAGGCAGTCACACACACACACACAGATGTGTACTCAGCCTAGGGTAGACGCCTTGTGGACACTGTGTTTCAAAGTCTCTCCTTTACGCAACAGTGTTGCTGTGTCGTGACCCACGTGACCATTGGAGGGTTGTTTTCTGCACCCGAGGCCCTTGGCTAGGATGGGCTGGTGCAAGGCTTTTATGTGGCCGCCCTGAGAGATCAGCCTTTTATAAGAGGGGAACTGCAGGTTGCCCAGCCGGTCCTGGTTTTATATACTTTGATTTCATTATTTTCATGAACTACCTTTATTAAAATGTACAACTACATGTAGCCTTCCCGCAAGAAGTTCACAAATCAGAAGGTCTTTCAAAGGTATTAAAAAGGAAATGGAATGCGCTTTAGGAATTGCCATGTCCCAGGGCTGGCCTGGAAAATATGGTCGCCACATGTCGGGAGAAGGGGGACCGTCCATGGCCGCGTACCCCTGTGCAGTTAATAAGCAGCCACGTAATAACATTATTATTAGACTTCCTGCTCTCTCGCTTTCCTGGTTTGTCTCTCGCTTCCTTTTCTCTCCCAGCAAATATAATCGGGGGGGCATCTGGACCCCACCAGGCTGGCCTCTCTGATTACACCTGGGATGAAAATGAAACCAAAAAAAAAAAAAAAAATAGGCATGCAAGTCTGAACCCAGGTCCAGCCACAGCTGCGACATGAGAGGATTGGACTAAGAAGAGCCATGTCTGGCCCCCAAGGAAATCAACCTCCTACCCAGGACACCGTAGGGAGAAACGTCAGAAGGAAGAGGCAGGGTGGGGAGGGGAGAGGCAGCTGAACGCTTGGATTCTTCTGCATGTTGGTCTCTTGCTGTCCCAGTGGAGGGGACCGACGTTGGCTTAGATGCTTTGAGCAGATACCCAGGGCTGCCCTGGGCATCTGCTCACTCACCAGCCTGTGTCTGACCCATCAGCATGTCTGTCAACACCCTCCTCCCACCGAAGATTTGCCAAAACATCACCTTCTCCCCGCCATCTGCACCTTGATGGGCACCGTCACATGAGCCTCGGCTGGCAGCTGGAACAACCACCCACAAGCTTAGTGGCTTGAACTCACACACATGTATGCTCTTCCGTTCTGGAGCAGAGAGCACCTCATGGCAAGGGGCTGATGGGGCTGGTTCCTTCAGAAGCTCTAGAGGAGGACCAGCTTCTCTGTCGGTCTAGTTTCTAGAGCCCCCTACCTGCATCTGCAAAGCCAGTAGTGTGGCAACTTGAGAGTCCTTTCTGACCTCTGGGTCTGTTGTTATGCCTCCTCCTCTTCACGGTGAGCCTCTTCTGCTGCCCCTCTTATAATTACTTCTGTGGCCACATCGTGTTCACTGGTAATCCGGGATAAAAACCCCCATCTTGGGACCAGCAGATGGCATAATGGTTCCGTCACTGGACTCCCACGGAGTTGACTGTGGTTCAAGTCTTGGACCCCGCGACTTGAAACTCACACCAGGAGCGTGTGCATGCGTGCCCAAGATCCCGAGAGGAGAATGGAGGAGAAGGGATTACAGCATGGCCATCTCTCCTGGGGGGTGAGGGTGGGGTAGGGAGGTGCTTTCTTGCTTTCTGTCTCTCTCTGTCTTTATCTGTCTCTTTAGCAGGTGCATGTGCCCTATAGCAAAAATCTCTCTAAGAAAATCATCAACATTCTCATCCCAAGTTCTATGACTTAACCATGTCTACACAGTCCCTTTTCCAGTAGCAGACAATGTCGTCACGGGAGGCCTGGTGACTCAGTGCAGTGGGATGGGGTCCTGGGACAGGAAAAGGACCATGGGGGAAACCAAGGAAGGGCTGGCCCTGCAGTGTGGTGGTTAAGTGGAGTGTGGAGGACCCCATCTGCAGGCCATGGTTAGCATTCTGATCCCAGTGGCTTGAAAGAAATGCCTCAGTGCTTGCGGGTATCCCCCAGATCCTAATGGGATGGAGAAAGGGAGGAGAAGAGATTGTGGCCTAAGACCCATTGGGGATGCTTTCTTTCTCTGTCCCTGGTAACTTAACACCAGAGAGTGTAAGTTACATAAATAAAGAATTGCATATATGCCAAGGAAATCTACACAGAGCTTGGGGCTTTGGTGCATACCCATATATTAATATTGGTTCAAGAGTTTTGACAAATGTCCCAGGGTGATGATGACAATGGAAAAAACTGGGTCCAGAACCAATGGGGACCCTCGAATATTCTTGCCACTTCTCTTTTAAGCCAACACTATTTCAAAATTAAAAAAAATTTTTTTAAAGAGATTTTTGCTATAGGATGTGCATGCTTGCCAGAGAGACAGAGACAGAGAGACAGAGACAGAGAGCATGCACATGAACAACCCCTGGTGGGGAGATGGCCATGCCATGTCCATTCTCCTCTTGGGATTTTGGGTACACATGCACATGTGTCCTGTGTGAATTTTAGGCCACCAGGTCCAGGACTTGAACCACGGTTGACTATGTGAGTCCAGTAATGTAAGCATTATGCCATCTGCTGGTCTTTTTTTTTTTTTTTTATTAAGAGAGAGAGTTTTGTTTGTTTTTTTCTTTTTCTTTCTTTCTTTTTTTTTTCTTTTTTGTTATAGGGTGCGTGCACTCACCAGAGAGATAGAGAGAGAGACAGAAAGCAAGAAATCACCCCCCAGGGGGGATGGTCACGCCGCAATCCCTTCTCCTCCATTCTCCTCTTGGGATCTTGGGCACGTACACACAGATGCCCGGCATGAGTATCGAGCTGCCAGGTCAGGGACTTGAACCACAGTTGACTCCATGGGAGTCCAGTGACGTAACCATTACACCTTCTGCTGGTTCCCAAAAATTATTAGATATTTTTTACAGGATCTTTTTTAATGAGAGGGGCTGGGACGTTGGTGCAGCAGTAACACACGATGTTCTGCAATGCCAACCCACATGGGAAGGTTCTGGGTTTGTGTCCGGGGGCCCTCCCTCAGTATTCTGGGGAGGCACGTGTGCCCATGACCGGGGGCTGGCCAAGGCTGGGGGGTGTCACAGTGTCAAGACCCCGGTGGGGTGTTCTCTCTCTCTCAAACTTTTGGAACAACAAGAGGTGGCTTTGTCACCAAGGTTGATCGTATTTCCGAGGTGGCTGTGGAAGTCCTGTGTTCATGTATTTGTGGCTTTGTCACCAAGGTTGATCGTATTTCCCAGAGAACACATGCTCTCATGCACCTTGTTCTTCAGCAGCTCACCGTACCAAGGGCCGGCTCAGGACACCAGCTTGTCCTCGACCGGACGATGACAACTTTGATCGCTTTACACAGAGTGGGTGTTTCAGGTTCCACATGGGTCAAGATTCCCCCCT